TGGAAATGACTTCAGGGATACTGTACCATCACTTACTCCAATGCTCTTTTCCTCTTGCTGGCTAATGTGGGTGCACTGTGGGAAATCAAACTGTTCATGCTGATGAATTAGCTCCGAAAGCTGAGAGTATCCAGGGCAGAACAGCATCTTTGCCTAGAGAAAGGGTGTCATTTTAGTGGTATTACTGAGATGGAACACACAGCAAGCAAAATGGTTGCCTAAGGCAACCGTGGCCAGTCCCAGCCACATCCAGTGGCTCCAGACCTTGGGAGCAAAGCTGCCGAAGGAAGTCAGAGCAGATTCCTAGAGGGACTGTGTCTGCCTGGGGAGCCCCAGATATTCCGGGTTCTCTTATTTGAGAGAGCTTGTTCTAGGACAGCAGTGCTATCTGGAAGTTTCTGAGATAGTCTAAGGAAGTTCTCAAGAAGAATTGAATTAAATTAGCTGTAAGTTGCTTCCTTACTCATCTTCTCTCTCAAATCCAAAAACGAATGTTTGACTAGAAATCAGACGAGTAGGGCTAAACAGTGGAATTATGAATGTTTGCTAATGACTTAAATGATGAAAGATCATTTGTAGGTTTCAGAAATTACAGCCCCATGGCCAACCACAGGTTTCTGAATGCGCCCAACATAATCTTCTAAAGTGCTGACCATGGAAAAACTCCACACTCACGACCCAGCTCAGGCCTGCTACGTAGCTCGTGCTGGAATTGTGGGGAATCTTGTGCTCCATGCTACACACAAGACCGGCAGCTGAAGGTGGAGAATTGTCCTCTTTGCTCATTGATACTTCCAGGTTGTTATCCCGTCATTGTCCCTTTCTCTTCCTTAATGTTCCCACTGCCCCAGGTTTTGGAAATGATGCTATCAGCCTACAGACTTGAAGACCATGTCTCCTCATTTCTTGAAGATTTGATTCCTGGATCATTCTCATTTTCTTTAGTGCTTCTCCCAGCATAGTTTTAGTGGTTTCACATTGAAGTAAATGACCTTTATAACACCCTAGACTCAACCTTCTCTCTTCCAGAGATTACGTTTTCCACTCTGTATCAACAGTCATTCCTTGGGCAGTATCTCAATCTTTGTCATTACCAAGAGTTGAATCCTCACAATCTTAATTTCAAGCTCTGACCAACACTGCCTGTCTTTCCAGTTCACTCCCTCAATTTGTTGACACCACCAGGACCTTCAATGAACTGATTTTTATCATCGTTCTACATCCTCACACCCAACACATCCTTCCTTCCCAACTTGCCCTGTGTGAATGCCATGACTCTTACGCCTTGGCGTCCGGCATATGTATTCAGGTGCTTTACCTCTTTGTCCTTTGTTGCAATCACCTGGCGAAGCCCAGCTCTAGGTTAAATCCAGTTCTATCTAAGTTCTGCCTCTGCCTACACCCACACAGTGGAATGTGGTTGGAACAAAACAATCAATTGTGCTGACTGCTCTCACTGTAGATTCATGTTCCTTAGCCTCAAGAGAGCCCTTATATCCTGCCTGGCAGTTCTACTGCCTTTCCCCCTTCTCTAGATGACTATTTCACACCTCCTACTCCTCTCCCCTTAAACCTTCAACACACCCTCCCTCATCCCAATCCTCTGCTGAGGACCTTGATTCCTGTTTCACTGGTAAAACTGAAGCAATGAAGAGAACTTCTACTTTTTTTTTTTTTTTTTTTCCACAGGTAAAAGTTCATCTGCTTCTGTGTCCATATATTCTTCCTTCTCTCTTCTCTGGTCTCCCATCTAAATCCTGTCCACATGTGAACAGGTTGGATGTCATTCCTTCATACTTACTCAAGGACGCCATTGCTTCAGTAACTGTCCCCTCTAACTTCTCCATCATCAAATTCTCCCTCTCTGCTGGATCATTCCCATCCAAATATGCAACTACTTCCCCCATTCTAAAAAGGAACTGCTACGGTTTGGATGTGGTTTCTCCCCTCCTAAACTCATGTTGAAATTTAACTGCCAGCGTAATAGTGCTGGGAGTTGGAGCCTTTAAGAGGTGATTAAGTATTTAAGGCAGATTAATGTCTTTCTTGCCAGATGAGTGTTTCCTTGCAAGAATGGATTGGTTTTTGCAGGAATGGATTAGCTCCTGAGAGAGAAGAGTGGGCTGTTATAAAGTGAGGTGGCCTCTACTGTTTCGTCCTTTTTTCCACAAGCCCAATTCTGCTTCCATTTCTCCACCATGTTTTGACATTGCATGAATGAGGCCCTCGCTAGAAGCTGCCAGATGCAGCTACCCCATCATGAACTTCCCAGCCTCCAGAACTATGAGCTACATAAACCTATTTCACGAATTATCCAGTCTTGAGAATTCTGTTATAGCAACAAAAAATGGACTAAGACAGTGAGAAAACCCTCTTTTGATTCCATATCACTGTCATACTATTGCACTTTTCTGCTTCCCTTTACAGCAATAGTTCTTTTTTTTTTTTTTTTTAAGATGGAGTTTCGCTCTTGTTACCCAGGCTGGAGTGCAATGGCGCGGTCTTGGCTCACCGCAGCCTCCGCCTCCTGGGTTCAAGCAATTCTCCTGCCTCAGCCTCCTGAGTAGCTGGGACTACAGGCACGCGCCACCATGCCCAGCTAATTTTTGTATTTTTAGTAGAGATGGGGTTTCACCTTGTTGACAAGGATGGTCTCGATCTCTTGACCTCGTGATCCACCCGTCTCTGCCTCCAAAGTGTTGGGATTATAGGCGTGAGCCACCGTGCCCAGCAGCAATAGTTCTTGAAAGGGTCGGCAAGAACACTGTCTCCGGTTTTTCTCCTTCCACTCCCTTTTAAATATATTCAAGTAGACTTTTGACCCCACTCTCCACCAAAACTGCGTTAATCAAGGTCACCAGTGAGCCACACACTGCTAAATCCAGTGGTCCGTTTTCAGTCCTCACCGTACTTGACGTAGACTGGTCTTTTTCCTGAAGACAGCTTTTCCACTTGGCCTTCCGGGCAATCAGTACTCCACCTTGCTTTTCCTTTTGTTACATTCGGCTGTCTTCCTCAGGCTCTCTGCTGCATATTTTCTCATTTCTCTCCACCTCTAAACGGGATCAATCTTTGGACCTCCTCTTGTCCCTGTCCACACTCACTCATTTAAAGATTTCATCAAGACTCCTGACTTTAAAATGCTATCTATGTATTGATGATTTTTGAAATTCATTAATTAATAAGCCTGGACCTCTCTCTGACTTCTACTTTTGTTTATTTTTATTTTATTTCATTTTATTTTAAGACAGGCTCTCGCTCCTGCCCAGGCCGGAGTGCAGAGGCACAATCATGGCTCACTGCAGTCTCGACCTCCCAGGCTCAACTGATCCTCCCACCTAGGCCTCCTGAATGGCTGGGACTAGAGGCGCATGCCACCATGCCTGTTTTTTTTTTAATAAATTTTTTGTAGAGATGGAGATCTCACCATGTTGCTCAGGTTGGTTTCAAACTCTAGGGCTCAAGAAACCTTCCTTCCTTGGCTTCCCAAATTGTTGGGATTATAGACATGGGCCACCATACCCGGCCAACTTCTACTTTTAAATACACAGTTGATCAATTAATATCTCCAAATGTCCAAATCCAAACTCTTAACCTTTCCATATCTGCTCCTCTTACAGTCTTTCCTATCTCAGTAAATGGAAAATCTCTTCTTTTAACTTCTTGTGTCAAAAATCTTTAAATTATCCTTGAGTTCTTTATTTTCTCTCAAATATCACAACCAATCTATCAGCACATGTTGTCAGCTCTACCTTAAAAGGTATTCCAAATCTTATCATGCCTTACCACTTCCACTCTATTGTTTTACTGCAAGCCTTCCCTTTTGCACGGCTGATCAAAACAGCTACCTAACTGGTCTTCCCACTTCCATCTCTGACCCCGTAGTCTATTTCTCAACATAATAGCCAACACGAGCTTTTTATAACCTAAACCTGCAATGGCTTCCCAATCCCACTTACCTAGAGTAAAAGCCAAAATCCTTAGCATGGCCTATAAAGCCTTGACCCCCCGCCTCCGCATCAACATTCTGACCTCACCTCCTTCCACCGTCCCTCTCATTTACCCGACTCTGGCCACATTGGTCTCCTTGCTGCATTTTAAACAAGTCAAGCATGCTTCTGCTTCAAGGCCTTTGTATTTGATATTCCCTCTGCCTGGACTGGTTTTCCCTCACACATCACATTGCTTTCTTTCTCACCTCATTCTGTTTTCTGCTTAAATGAAACCATCCTTTGAAACTCTGTTAAAACAAGCACCCTGTATTAGTTTGCTAGGGCTGCCATAACAAAATACCACAGACTAGTGGCTTACACAGAAATTTATTTTCTCACAGTTGTGGAGGTAGAATGCTGAGATTAAAGTCTGGCAGGTTTCATTTCTCCTGAGGCTGCTTTTCTTGCCTCTGTGGATGCCCACCCTCTTGCCATGTCCTCTCATGGTCTTTTCTTTGGGTATTTGTCTGTGTGTCATAATCCCCTCTGCTCACAAATCATATTGGGTTAGGATATGCTCTCATTTTAACTTAATTATCTCTTTAAGAGGCCCATCTTCCCAAACAGTCACATTCTGCCATGCTGGGGACTAGGACCTCAACATGTAAATCTGGGAAAAACGAAATTCAGTTCATAATGCTCCATCTCCATTTTCTTTCTGTGTCTACAGAGCACTCATCACCTGGCCAACAGCCTTTCCTTGCTGGTTTATTGTCTGTTATCTCTCCCCTACAATGTCAATTCAAATTGGGCAGGGATTTTTTGTCTCTTTTGTTCACTGCTGTACACCCAGTGACTAGAACATTACATGGCATATAATGAGCACCGAATAAATAGTTGTAAAATGATCTAAGGGTTTTACGTACTTATCTGCCTCCTGAAGCCATCTGAATTTGCAACCTGTAACCTCTCTCTTATCAGGGTTGTTTTCTATCAGTTAGCATTTACTCTCTGCCCAATGTTGTGATTCATATTGGAGTAATTTGCAAAAATAAAAACCCTCAGTCTTTTTGCAAAAATCTGTATTCCAAGACACTTATAAACAAGAACACGTAAGATTTTTTAAAAGGATAGTAATTTATGGTACAAATTTCAACTGCAATAAACAGATAAGTTGGTAACAAAATAGGGAAAACTTGTCTGTAAAATGGGGACAGTAATTCTTATGTATTATAGAGGTTTGTGAAGATGAAATATGGTTATAGTTTATCAAACACTTCTTCATATTAGGAAAATATTTGAAAGTTACAAGAAGAAAGACAGAGACCTATGGGAGCCATTTAAGCCCTCTTGTGGAAGACAGAGACCTATGGGAGCCATTTAAGCCCTCTTGTGGAAGGTTCGTGAGGCTCAAGAAGGAGTTAACCTGTCTGGCAATGTCCAAGGACCTGTTGGGCCCAGCCAGTCAATAGAAGCAGATCACAGGTGTAATTCTTGTAACATGAGTCCTTTCTGGGAGCAACAGTGGGGCATGCTGAAGCCTTACAGAGGAGTCTCTCTGTAGCCTGCTCACACAGTTCAATTTTCTCTCAATAAAAATGCAATAGAAATTCATTTCCCTCCAGACTGTTGAATACTTTTGATTCCAAATTATTTGGAATAGAAATTCTGATTCACAGTATTTTTGGAAAGAAGATGGATGAAGAGTTCTTAAAAGAAAAAAGAAGGGAGAAGAAGAAATAAAGTGGCTGTGTTTTACCAAACTGAGAGTAGTTTAAAGACACTGCAGGATTTAAAAAATGTATGAGCCAAAGTTAAAATAATTTTTAGCCTATGCAGAAAGACCTTTGAGTTCCTAACAGTAGGTGGGGAAATTAAACCTTTTTTTTTAAAGAGTCACGTAATTTGGAGGAAGTAGGGCAATGCCAGCTGCCATGTCTTCATTACCACAAAGAACCTATTATAGATTCACTAAGTCCCAGGTTTGGCTAAATTTTGAATGTGCTAATTCTTCTTCATCATGTTAGCACTGTCCAAAGTATTTGGCTCCTATGCCAAAGACATTAGATCAGTTTGCTATGTACAGTAATAATAATATTTTATTTAGGTTTTGGATTATCTACAGGTTTCAATTATCTCGGTTGTCTCTTGTTAATAAGAATAATGGCAAACTGGCTTTAATCTCAAATCATTTTCTTTTATGAGTTGCATTCATTGTCTCCCTTATTGTCTCTACGTTTAACGTCTATCAAATCTGAAGTGTTCACAGGTTTTCCACAAAACACATTAGGGACAAGAGTCTTTATTCTCACACAGTCTACTTTCCAGCCCACAACCAATACCACATTAGTCTAGCCAGGTCTGGACTAGTGTTCCGAACACTGAAGATCATAATGAGAGGTGGTGACAGCAAAGCGGATGGTTTCCTTCTATGATATTGATATCAGACACTTTCAGAAATAGTTTGAACATTCCTAACTCATGCTTATTAGAATTTCACGACTTTCTCACTCATAGATCTAATCAATGCTCAACTGTTTTTATTTCTAGGCCATATAACCCTTTACAGGGTAATAAGTACCGTAATTTTACTACCCACTGTGAAAAGTAACACCCCATTCTTGTCTTTCTCGGTTTCAGTAAATCCTCATCAATTCTAAGATTCTAATATTGGTGATCAAATCTCTGTTCACTCTGCTACCAATGTAACTTCAATTATTTCCCCTTTTAGGATTTGCACAGACCAAAATGGCCTAAAATTTTAGGCTGTTTATAAATAATCACATATAAAAACTAAAACAATATAGGCTAAATTATTGTGAGTTAATCTGATGAAAACAGGAGCAGGAAATAGCAGAAAGTCAAGATAATCATTATGTTTTCATAACATTATCTATCTGTGTCTCTCTGTCTCCCCAACGTAAACTCCTTCAGGATAGAAGCTAGTTTTTATTCATTTTTAGTGCTGCCCCCACCCCCGACCCACTTCATCCCAGCACAATCATTCTCAAACATCTGTACATCTAGATCACCTGAAGGGTTTATTAAAATTGATTACTGATCCCTACCCCTAGAGCTTCTCATTCAGTAGGTGTGGGGTGGAGTCTGCAGATATGCATATCTAATGAGTTCCCAGGTGACTCTGATGTTGTCTGGGGACCATACCTGGAGAACTACTCACTGCCTCAGCACAGAGAAGGCTCTCAGAAAATGTTGGTTGCACTGAATTGAAGCAATCCAGTTGAAGAGAAGACATCAGACAGTGTAGTAAGATTAGTATATTAGTTGGAGCAGTACCTAAAGTATTGGAACCCAGAGATCTCAAGACAAAGTAGCTTACATATGATAAACATTTCCTCACACAACAGTCCAGAGGTAGGTGAGTAATCCAGGGTGGAAAGGTAGCTGTGCTTGCTGAGGCCAGAAACCCAGGCTGAGGGGTTGACTCTGTCCGTCTTTTCTTTATGGCTTTCAGCAATGGGTCAAACATGCTGTTCCAGAATGTGTGGACAAAGAGGAGCACTTTGCTTTAAAAAAGATGTGACTCTGAAATTGCACAAATCACTTTCGCTCATATCCCATTGGCTAGAGCTAATTTACAGGCCCATATCTTGGGTAGGCTGGGAAATTTAGTCTCTACCTGGGGCTATGTGCGCTGATAAAATTCAGAGTGAAGGTTTTATTACTAAAAAGTGATAAGGACAGGAGACAGGGAAATACTGGGTAGAAGAGGGTGATCTCCCTGCAAAGGCCCCACCCTCAAGCCTGGATACCTGTGGCCCTAAATGAGAACAGGCATTCCTGTTTTTATGCCCCAAAGGCTGCATCCCTATCCTGCACCCATATAAGCCTTGAACCCTGGGCTCCAGGGGCAGACCAGCAAACCAGCACACCAGCAGATGGACAGTGGAACAGCACAGCAGAGAAAAAGAGAAGAGGGGGAACATCTGAATGCCAAGAGAAGTTTGGCTGGGGACAGTCAGAAAGGAGTCCAGCTGCTGGTAAGCCCAACTCCAGGGGAAAATCACGTTCCCATTCCATCCCATTCTTCCAGCTCCCTATCCATCTCACTGAGGGCCACCTCCATCACTCAATAAAATCTTGCATTCATCCTCAAGCCTGTGTATTACCCGATTCTTCCAGGACACTGGGCAAGAGCTTGGGATACAGAAGGCTATGACATTGGAATCCTGTCCCTGCAACAAGGCAGAGGGTCCATTGAGCTGGTTAACACTCAAGCTGTCTGCAATGGCAAAGCTGAAAGAGCACTGTAGCACTGGGGTTGCAAGTACCCACCCCTAGACACTACTGTGGGGCCAGACCCAAAGCGCTGTCCCTGGGCCCTGTACCTGCCCATCTGTATGCTCCTGCCCTAGCTAGGGATTTGAGCAGTGGGGTGACCAAACAGGTGAGCCACACCCCTGTCACACATCCTGCGAGAGGTATCAGGGAACTCTCATTTCAAAAGGAGAAAGAAGAGAATAGATACTGGGAGATAGTTGGCAGTCTCTGACAAAAAAACTTCATGGCAAATCTATGTGTAAAGTGACAAAAATCTGAACAATAAATACAATAAGGGTTCTCTATGTATTTGTACATATTTGGGGAGGAAGTAGAGTGAGATAGGGAAGCAACCCTCTGCTTTATACAGAGGTTGTTAATTTGGTATTAATATGGATCTAAAGGCAAAGCCCCTTCATTTACTTCAACACGTCAATATGCCAGTACATCAAAGGAGCATGAGAATGTCCTGTCGTCACTAGAGGAGCATGGAGGAACACATGGTTTGGTGAACATGAAGTTGCAGGCGTGAGACATGCATGAAAGTGCAGAATGGAAGTCTCGATGGTGGCTGGCGCAGAAAGAACAACGGGACTGACAGTGGTTAAGAGTGAGACACACAGTGGTAGCCTTTGCAGAATAGCAAGAGAGAGGAGGAGCACAAGACACACTCAGTTACAATATAAGTGTGCAGCGTTAGACATCAAGGGAGACCATGGAAGAAAGTAATGAAACCTACATGGGAGGCAGGGAAAAGCTCGACAGGAACATTTGCCACGTGACAAACAGCAAGGACAGCGTGGGCGGGAGTTCTGAGGCACCAGGCTAGAAGAGTGCCAAAGCTGAAAAGGGCTCAGGAGAGGGTTTGTGTTGTTTGTTTGTTTCTCTAGCAACTAAGCAGGAAAAGCAATAGAGAAGAGAAACGGCAGCAGCAGCTAAACTGGGCAATGACCTAGATACAGGGAAGGGGGAAGAGATGAATTAGGATGCCCCAGAGGCAAAAGCAAATGACCTTTATGCATGAAGGAGCTTTCAATATGACCAGAAAACAGCAAGTAGAAAAGGAAGGCACAGAAAAAGTGAAAGAATAATACTTCACTGAGGAATCAGCAACCTCAGAAATTCTATTTGTTAATTTTTCTGTAAGGGACCCAGGAGAGGAAACTATAATAAAATAATTTCGTGGCCTTCATCCTCATGAGTACTTAACCTCCTCCCTCAGTGGAGGAACTTTATTCTAGAATATTGCTGAGGAACAACACTTTTCTTGCTCACTGGCCGTCTGGTTCATGGTGGGAACACTTCCCTCCCCAGGACTGGTTCCCGCAGTCATGTCTGGATAAGCCACAGATTCTCTCATTAAAAAAAAGAAAATCATTGCAGAAGCCTCTTTTGAGGAAAGGCTACTGCAAACTCAGGGAACTCTCTGAGCAGCCTACTTATTGGAACTGACCATTGCTCTCAGTGGGTTTCCCTACAGAACAGGCTGGTGTGGGGAGATCTGGTGGTAAAGGCCAGGCACACAGCACTTCTTCCGCACTGCATTTACAGATATGAACTGGGACGTGGCTTTTTCCCAGGAAGAGCCTGTATGCTTATACATTACTCAAAAAAAGGAAAATCTGTAAAATCGGACCATTTTAACCTAAATAGAGTGAAATAAAGTCACATCATTTGATTTTCAGAAACGCTTAGAAGAAAATGACGACCGTAGGCCTGCTTCACTATGTGCATCGGTGGGTAGAAGTGAGGAGGGCCTATTAAAAAAGGAGTTTGCATTCCATAGAGCCAACACGGTTACATCAAATATTAAATATTTTATTTATTCAAAGACTGCTAAGTGATTGCAACATCTAGCAGCCACATTTCAAGTTATGAAGAGATAATGCCACAGCTAATGCACAGTAGAGGACAAGACTCAGAAGACGTTGGTTATAATTCCTATTCGACCTCTCACTGGCCTCCAGTGTCCATCTCCACTTGGACAAGGAGCCTGAGGGTGGAGACTATGTGTCATTTCTAATTCTTGGTGCTTGAATGGTACCTGCAAAACAGGCACTCCACAAATGCTTGTTCACTGAGTATATCAGGTGAATCCTCACAGAACTGCCAGTTATATTTTTGGTAAAAAAGAATAATAAAATATAATTTCATATGATATTTCCATTCTAATCTTGTCCACATATTGTATAGATTTGCTTTTCCCTAAATGCTCTCATGTTTCTGTGTCCTACTTTTTATTGAAAAGCCCTTTCTCCTATCCCATATCGATCATATTCCTTCCTTGAACATTCTTGTGAATTACTCATTCCCACGTGCACCCAGTATTTGCTAGTTGGCATCTCTGTGTGTCCTCCTCTAAACTGTAGTCATATTGCATTTCCTCAGTGCCCACACAAACATCTGTCATAATTCTGAATTACGTATCTGAGGATAAAGTCACCAAAGCCCTGAAACTCAGTTTCCTTCCTAGAGAAACAAGATAATCCCTGCCTGGCCAATATAACAGAATTGTTAAGAGTTAACATATGAGGACTTAAAATGATTAACAGTGAAGCCTTCCTGTTGTTCTTCTAAAGGGGGGTGGTTTGAAAGGGGTTGGAAAATGTTAAGTGCTAGCGATAGGCAATTTGTTTTCAGCTTAATCTCAGGGAGAGATTGACTCTTCCCAGCCAAAACATTTGAAAAGACGCATCCAGTTGACAGACTGAAAAGAGAATGCCGATCACATAGGGAGGACACACAGCCAATGAGAACACACACAGAGTCCTTGTGTTAAAGAGAAAGAGACCAAGAATTGTCACATGCAGAGTTATTCCCTTTAAATAGTAATACGGGCACACAACACTTGACAGGGCGAGCTGAAAGAAATCAAAGGCTGCATTTGAAAGCAAACTAAAGACTCCTCTGTGTACAATGAAGAATGTTTGAGGGAATAATTGTAAAAGCATTAAAATAAGCAGAGGGGAGGAGGAAAGGAGGCAGGGAGGAAGAGTGAGGGCTAAGAATATGATGGGACACACAAGAGAGTATCACAAGTACTTGGAGAAGATTCTAGACTCAGTGAGAAGCGGCAGACACTCCCTTAAGCACAGTAGTTAAGGGAGATTTCTTAGTTCTTAATTAGGAGAAACTACAGATAAAATAAATGTGTGACTTTTGGCAAGTCGCTGAAGGTTACTTGAAAAACTGGTATGAATAGTTTCTATCTTATAGAGCTGATAGAAACATTAAATAAGATACTGAACATAAATACACTTACAAAGTGCTCAGTATATGGCAAGTACATAATACATACTGTAATAGCTCTTATTATTTAATGTTGTTTGGCAAGCTATATGGTCATTCTCAAGTAATCCTTTTACTGTCTTCATGAATTGTCCAGTTGAAGAACTCTCCAGAAAGAGTCCTGAACTTTACGTATTTGACCTATTACAAGCAAAACCAGTACACTAAATACTGAAGCAGCAGTATCCATAGACGGTTCTATGACAGAGATGTTCTCCATCTGCATTTATCCACTGTGACAGGCATTAGCCACATGAAACCATGGGGTACTTCAAAGTGCTGCTAAGGAAGCACTTTTTAAAATCTAAATGGACACATGCCATATTGGACAGTGTTGCCTTAAAGCACATGGCCCCTGTGCATATGAAAAGACATTATACAGGTCACTGTGGCCTAGTGGGGCTCTGGATTAGGTGATCTGAATTTGAAACCGGAATCCTCCTTTAGAAGCTACATTTAGAACTATATTGAGCAAGTAGCTCAGCCTCCCACGCCTCAGTTTCAACTTTTGCAATCTGAGGTGGATAACAGTATCTACTTTATTGACTTGCAGATTAAGTTAGAGAATGCAAACAAAGCAATGGTTCTCAAAGTTCAGCAGGCATCTATATCACCTGGAAGGTGAAGACACCAATTACTGGGTTCATCCTCCAGGTTTTTTATTCAATAGGTCTGAGGTAGAGTCAGAGAATCTACATTCCTAATGAGTTCTCAGGCGATGCTCATGCTGCCGGTCTGGGAACCCCGCTTGGAAAAAGACTGTTGTAAGACATGTCGTATGGTGCCTGACACACAATGGGAACTCACTAGTGTTACTGTTTTATGATAAGCATCTTGATGGTGTACATCAGGAGGGTTTTTGCAAAAAAAAAAAAAAAAATTCACACTTTATTAGAAATCTCTAGCCCATTTTCTGACACATACTTTTGATAAATGTTTATGAGGCACCTACAAAGGGCAAACCACCACCACTGTGTTGAGTGACCAAGTGGGTTTGAAGCAAGGTTTCAGAGCACCAAGCTACATTAACATTATTATTACCATCTGAAATATGTTTCAACATTTCAACTCTCCACAAAACATACAGGAAAAATAAAAATCAGGTTTCTCCCCCATTTTTCATCTCCATTAGAAAGACTCCGAAGAGCCTATAAATGATAAGTGGAAGGGACGTGAAAATAGATCTAGATTCCAACCTTGGCTCTTTTATCAACTTCCTGAGGTCACTGGGTGTGATGGATAATTTTATGTGTCAACTTGACTGGGTTAAGGGATATCCAGATAGCTGGTAAAGCATTACTCTGGGTGTGTGCCTCAGAGTGTTTCTGGGGGAGATTGGGCTTTGAATCAGTAGTCTCAATAAAGAAGATACGCCCTTATCAAAGTGGGCTGACATCCAATCAATTGAGGGCCTGACTAGACAGAGGTTGATTCCAGGTCTAGCCTGTAAACAGTGTCGTAACGAACATACATGTGCATGTGTCTTTATCATAGAATGATTTATAATCCTTTGGATATACACTCAGTAATGGGATTACTGGGTCAAATGGAATTTCTGTTTCTAGGTCCTTGAGGAATTGCCACACTGTCTTCCACAATGGGTGAACTAATTTACACTCCCATCAACAGTGTAAAAGTGTTCCTATTTCTCCACATCCTCTCCAGCATCTGTTGTCTCCAGATATTTTAATGATCTCAATTCTAACTGGCATGAGATGGCATCTCAATGTGGTTTTGATTTGCATTTCTCTAATGACCAGTGATGATGAGCATTTTTTCATATGTTTGCTGGCCTCATAAATGTCATTGAAAAGTGTCTGTTTATGTCCTTCACCCACTTTTTAATGGGTTTTTTTCTTGTAAATCTGCTTTAGTTCTTTGTAGATTCTGGATATCAGCCCTTTGTCAGATAGGTAGATTGCAAAAATTTTTTCCCATTCTGTTGGTGGCCAATTCACTCTAATGACTCTTTCTTTTGCTGTGCAGAAGCTCTGGAGTTTGATTAGGTCCCATTTGTCTATTTTGGCTTTTGTTGCCAATGTTTTTGGTGTTTTAGTCATGAAGTCGTTGCCTATGCCTATGTCCTGAATGGTTTTGCCTACGTTTTCTTCTATGGTTTTTATGGTGTTAGGTCTTATGTTTAAGTCTTTAATCCATCTGGAGTTAATTTTAGTGTAAGGTGTCAGAAAGGAGTCCAGTTTCTGCTTTCTGCACATGGCTAGCCAGTTTTCCCAACATCATTTATTAAACAGGGAATCCTTTCCCCGCCGCTAGTTTTTGTCAGGTTTATCAAAGATCAGATGGTTGTAGATGTGTGGCATTGCCTCCAAGGCCTCTGCTCTGTTCCATTGGTATATATCTCTGTTTTGGTACCAGTACCATGCTGTTTTGATTACTGTAGTCTTGCAGTATAGTTTGCAGTCAGGTAGCATGATGCCTCCCGCTTTGTTCTTTTTGCTTAGAATCGTCTTGGCTATGAGGGCTCTCTTTTGGTTCATATGAAGTTTAAGGTGGTTTTTTCCAGTTCTGTGAAGAGGGTCATAGGTAGCTTGATGAGGATAGCACTGAATCTATAAATTACTTCAGGCAGTATGGCCATTTTCACAATACTGATTCTTCCTAACCATGAGCATGGAATGTTTCTCCATCTGTTTGTGTCCTTTCTTATTTCTTTGAGCAGTGGTTTCTAGTTCTCCTTGAAGAGGCCCTTTACGTTCCTTGTAGCTGTATTCCTAGGTATTTTATTCTCTTTGTAGCAAGTGTGACTGGCACTTCATTCTTGATTTGGCTCTCTTTAAGTCTGTTATTGGTCTATAGGAATGCTTGTGATTTCTGCACATTGCCTTGTATCCTGAGACTTTGCTGAAGTTGCTTATCAGTTTCAGAAGATTTTGGGCTGAGACGATGGGGTCTTCTAAATATACAATCATGTCATCTGCAAATAGAGACAATTTGACTTTCTCCTTTCCTAACTGAATACCCTTTATTTCTTTTTCTTGCCTCACTGCACTGGCTAGAACTTCCAATACTATATTGAATAGGAGTGGTGAGAGAGGGCATCCTTGTCTAGTGCCAGATTTCAAAGGGAATGCTTCCAGTTTTTGCCCATTCAGTATGATATTGGCTGTTGGTTTGTCGTAAATAGCTTTTATTATTTTGAGACACATTCCATCGATACCCAGTTTATTGAGAGTTTTTAGCATAAAGAGCTGTTGAATTTTGTCAAAGGCCTTCTCTGCATCAATTGAGATAATCATGTGGTTTTCATCTTTGGTTCTGTTCATGTGGTGAATTATGTTTATAGACTTGCATATGTTGAACCAGCCTTGCATCCCTGGGTTGAAGCCTACTTGATCATTATGGATAAGCTTTTTGATGTGCTGTTGCAATCGGTTTGCCAGTATTTTATTGAAGATTTTTGCATCTATGTTCATCACGGATATTGGCCTGAAGTTTTCTTTTCTTGTTGAGTCTCTGCCAGGTTTTGGAATCAGGATGATGTTGGTGTCATAAAATGATTTGGGAAGGATTCTCTCTTTTTGGATTGTTTGGGATAGTTTCAGAAGGAGTGGTCCTCTTTGTATGTCTGGTAGATTTCGGCTGTGAACCCATTTAGATCTGGGCTTTTTTTGGTTGGTAAGCTATTAATTGCTGCCTCAACTTCAGACCTTGTTATTGGTCTACTCAGGGTTTTGACTTCTTCCTGGTTTAGGCTTGGTAGGGTGCAAGTGTCCAGGAGTGTATCCATTTCTTCCAGGTTTACCGGTTTGTGTGCACAGATTTGTTTGTAGTAATCTCTGATGGTAGTTTGTATTTCTGTGGAATCCGTGGTGATATCCACTTTATCATTTTTTATTGCATCTATTTGGTTCTTCTCCCTTTTCTTTTTTATTAATCTGGCTAGAGGTCTATTTTTTTTATCTTTTCAAAAAACCAGCTCCTGGTTTATTAATTTTTGAAGGGCTTTTTGTGTCTCTATCTATCTCCTTTAGTTCTGCTTTTAATTATTTCTTGTCTTCTGCTAGCTTTTGAGTTTTTTTTGATCTTGCTCCTCTAACTCTTTCAATTTTGATGATAGGGTGTCAATTTTAGATCTTTCCTCACTTCTCATGTGGGCACTTATTACTATAAATTTTCCTCTAGACACTGCTTTAAATGTGTCCCAGAGATTCTGGTATGTTGTGTCTTTGTTCTTGTTGATTTCGAAGAACATCTTTATTTCTGCCTTTACTTTATTGTTTATCCAGTCAACATTCAAGAGCCAGTTGTCCAGTTACCAGGAAGTTGGGTGGCTCTGAGTTAGTTTCTTAATCCTGAGATCTAATTTGATTGCATGGTGGTAGGCCTGGAATCAACTCAAATGTCCATCAATGATAGACTGGACAAGGAAAATGTGGCACAAATACACCATGGAATACTATGCAGCTATAAAAAGTGATGAGTTCATGTCCTTTGTAGGGACATGCATGAATCTGGAAACCATCATTCTCAGCAAATTGATACAATGGACATGAGCTCATTCTTTTTTATGGCTGCATAGTATTCCAATGTGTATATGTGCCACATTTTCTTTATCCAGTATATCATTCATGGGCATTTGGGTTGGTTCCAAGTCTTTGCTATTGTGAACAGTGCCACAATAAACATACGTGTGCATGTGTCTTTATAGTAGAATGATTTATAATCCTTCGGATATATACCCAGTTAATGAGATTGCTGGATCAAATGGTACTTCTAGTTCTAGATCCTTGAGAAATCTGCTTTTCACAATGATTGAACTAACTGACGCTCCTACCAACAGTGTAAAAGTTTTCCTATTTCTCCATATCCTCTCTAGCATCCGTGTTTCCTGACTTTCTAATGATTGCCATTCTAACTGGCATGAGAGGTATCTCATTGTGGTTTTGATTTGCATTTTTCTAATGACCAATGATGATGAGCTTTTTATCACATTTGTTGACTGCATAAAAAAACAGCATGATACTGGTACCCAAACAGATATATAGACCAATGGAACAGAACAGAGTCCTCAGAAATAACGTCACAGATCTCTAACTACCTGATCTTTGAGAAACCTGACAAAAACAAGCAAAGGGGAAAGGATTATTTAATGAATGGTGTTGGGAAAACTGGCTAGCCAAATGCAGAAAGCTGAAACTGGATCCCTTCCTTACAACTTATATAAAAATTAATTCAAGATGGATTAAAGACTTAAACACAAGGCCTAAAACCATAAAAACCCTAGAAGAAAACCTAGGCAATACCATTCAGGACACAGGCATAGGCAAAGACTTCACCAAAAGCAATGGCAACAAAACCCATAATAGACAAATGGGATCTAATTAAACTAAAGAGCTCCTTCACAAAATAAACTGTCACAAGAGTGATACCTACAGGTCACCTACAGAATGGGAGAAAATTTTTGCAATCTATCTGACAAAGGGCTAGTGTCCAGAATCTACAAAGAACTTAAATTTAAAAGAAAAAAACAAAACCCCATCAAAAAGTGGGCAAAGACTATGAACAGACACTTCTCAAAAAAATAGGGTGACATTACTTAACTGAGGTAGAGGCAAGACGACAAGCTGTCAGTCATTGGGAATATCTGATTTGTCAGTCTTGACTACTATTGTAGTCTGGCATAACCTATTTCAAAGTGTCTCTGCAATAAGGATAGACGGGAGAACTTGGGACCTGCCTGAGGGATTCTGATGGGTAAATCCGACCGTGGTTGGCTGAATCTGATTTTAAGTCAGCATCTATTGGCTGAATTACTGACATAAACATCATCAGTCATTCCAATACCCACCTCCAAAATCAGAATGTTTAAAATCTAAAAAAAACAACGTTTCCTTTTAGCATTTTTTTTTTTTTTTTTTGGTATGGATGAAACAAGCACTATTCTTAAGAATACGGTGTAAGGATTTTGCTCTCACATTTGCTTCTCTTATGGAGTGATATTGTACAACCTAATTGGATTCTCTGAGTCTCACTTTCCTCATGTATAAAATGGCAATAAGTCTTCTAATTCACAGGGGATGAGTGAGACTAAAGTGAAATGAAGGCAAGAAAATACTTATTAAGAATATAATTCAGAGACTTGGGCTGTTGTACAATAAATAAATCAAGTTGAAATAATGCAACCTCCTTATAAGATTATACCCCGTATCTCTAAAATAAAAAAACAAATTATTGCTAGGACAGTTGGTGTCATCTCTTGGAAAGCAAGTTAAGCAGCTTAAACACATTAAATCAGGCACCGTCTCAGTGACAAACAAATTATAAGAAGGGACTTGTTTTTATGAGATCTGAATACAAATTGGCATCTCATCAAATGGCATCTCAAGAATTCTTCTAAGACCTCTAAATATTGCTTTATAAAAGGGATGAAGTAGATAAAGTGTGCATCTGTTACAGTAAGTACTCCAGAGAGAGGCACAAATGTACTCCATTTCCCAAATCACTCCTTACCTCAATCACATTTGTGTAGGCCAAGGAGTGTGCCTCAATAATTAGGGATTCAGACAGCTATGGCTGCTTTAATTTTTGTTGCTGCTGTTCACAGCATTTTGTTGATGGGATTTGGAACTCTGTCGTATTTCAAAGCTACAAAGTAACATTCGTCAAATGAAGCCAATAATCAGCTATGCCAAATTAAATGTCCCAAAACTATAACTTTTTGCTTGTGGGGAAAGCTGCCGTTTTCAGAATGCATGGAATGCAAGGCGCAAAAGCCTTTCTGTGATTTTGTTGAAACCTCCTATAGAAAACCCACCAATTTCTTCACCTCCTGGCACACAGGGTGTGCTAATTCTTTGGCTTTTGCAGATCCAGCTTGTAAAACCTTCTCTAAATGGTCCTTGTCCAGCTTCAGTTTCTCAATTTCACGCTTAATCGGGGCGAACTTCTCGATGACGGCGTCCGCCACGGCCAGCTTGTAGCGCGCGGTGTCCAGGCCCGCGCTGCGGCGCACCACCTCCTGCACCGGGAGCCCGGCCACCGCGGCGTGCAGCGCCACCAGGTTGGACACGCCCGGGCGGCCGGCCGGCTCGTAGGTGACCTCCGAGGTGAAGTCCGTCACTGCCTTGCGGAACTTCCGCACGATCTCCTCCGGGCTGTCTGTTATTCCCACGGTGGCCAATTTGTCAGGGTCTGATTTCGACATTTTGGCAGAAGGATCACGGAGGGATTTTACCTTCTTCATGGATGCTAGGTTAAAGACACCAACACACACACACCCAACACAAAAACAAAACAAACAAATCACCAGGAATGTCACTCTAGATCTTAAAAATGTCAACAATATCCAAGGACTATTATTTTCATCTCTTTATACAAACGGCAAATACTCATTGTGAAAACTTCAAGCATAAAAGTAAAGATAATCTGAAAATATGTGATTGTAATGTTAATATTCTGCTGATTTTTGGGGCATCTTTTAATGCATATATCTGCACAAAATGTATAATCTTACACAAATGAAATCATATCATCATACTGTTTTTGCTGTGCGCACCTTTTTAGGAAAGACTATTTCTTCCCTCTTCCTCTCTCTTTCCTCTCTGCTCTTCCCTAATACTTAATCATTCCCACCCACAGCCCCTGCCTTTCCTGTCCCCTAATTTTAACAATTTGTGGCAGTCCTTCCATTTCTTTACCCAGGATTATATAAGTACACAACAACGCGCACACAGACACACACACAGACACACACACTGTCTCTCCCTCTCTCTCACATACACATGAGAGAAGTGACTTGTTTATTGCTCTGATAGAATCAAGATGTTAAGCTGTGCTTAGTAAAGCGGTATTATTAATTCCCTATTTATGGCTAGTACAGATGCATATAAAATTGAAATACGTGAAATAAACCCCAAACATTAAACTATTACTTATTGCCTAAAATAAGGTTGATTTCAATGCAAGGAGTACCTTAAGTTTATTTGTGTGAACTGCTGGAATAACTTAGAAATTTATACTTGCCTTTTGTTTCTGAATTGATACTAGGCGCACATACGTCTTTGCAATGTTTTCAGCTTAATAAAGATGGACAGTGGTTAGGTTCACTGATCTTTGCCCCTGCCACAAGTTAACATTGCTACAAATTGCTGACAGGGATTTACAGCTTCTTTCCTCAAAAAGACTCCAGACTAGCATAGCCTCAAAGGCTAAAGCTGACTTTTCAGATTCAGTTGGTAGGCTGTACGTTCAATCTCGGTTGCTCATTTAAGAAAACAGAGTGCAATAATTATCAATTCCCCTTTGTGTGTGTGTGTGCGTGTGTGTGTGTGTGTGTATGTGTGTGTGTGTATACATATATATATCTATATATGTATACACACACATATGTATGTATGTATGTATATTATCAATTCCCCTTTGTATGTGTATATATATGTATATACACATATATGTATGAATACAGACAGTACACATATATGTGTGTGTATATGTATGTATGTATGTATGTATATACAGACAGTTCCCAACTTGCAATGGTTTGAATTATGATTTTTCAACTTTACAATGGTGCAAAAGTGATATCCATTCAGTAGAAACTGTACGTGAAATACCCATAAAACCATTCTGTTTTTCACTTCCCATATGGTATTCATTAAATTACATGATACATTCAGTACTTTATTATAAAATAGGCTTTGTATTAGATGATTCTGTCCAACTATGGACTAATGTAAGTGTTTTGAGCACACTGAAGGTGGGCTAGGCTAAGCTGTAATATTCAGTAGGTTAGATGTGTTAAATGCATTTTTGATTAACAGTGTTTTCAACTTACAATGGCTTTATCAGGATGTAACCTGAATATATAAGTCAAGAAGCATCTGTTTATACTTTGTAAATTATATACTGCTTTATAAATACTATTATTTTAATTTTTTGGTCTCTTCCATACTTTTAAAATATTTTTAGTTATCCTTTTCAATAATCCAACATCTTTTTCAATAAGCCAACATGGTCTACTTACTAGTCCTACACTGCAGAAAACAATGAGGACTCTAGATACAGATCCAGAAGCCTGTCTACAGGCACGCCAGAGCTTAGTCCCAAGAAAGTTCCAAGCCCGTCTATTGTCCAATCCTCTCTTTAGAATATACCCTGATGTAACAATTATAAGTTTTTGTCACTTACTTAGAATGGACTTGGGCACTGGAAAGAACTCCCCATACTTCTTGTTGAAACTTTGTGCTAGATCCTGAACTAGTTCCATGTGCTGGACTTGATCCTCCCCAACAGGAACGTGTGTGGACCTTTAATAAAAGACAGAGAGAAAAATATAGCCAGGCTCTTTCTTAGATGGAAATGATATTGCAAGCAGCTGCATTTCCTGTGAATACTTCACTGTTGGTGTTCAACAAATGTTCACCAACTACAGAGGGAAGGTTCAGACCTAAGTCTTTAACTATGGATCGGACAAATGTCAAAGAGATGTTTGTCTACTCTAGTTGTGTTTTTTCCAGAGTAGAGGAATACAGTCATCAACACCAGCGGGACAGGATCTTGCTGGGAGGGAAGAATGGGACTTTAAGTAGCATATGCTCTAGGCACAACTGTATTTTAAAACTCCGCCTCATTCCCTCACCCAGTCAGCACATATTATCCCAGCCCTGACCAGATGCTTTTTATCTCAGAACTGCAGCTCACATTGAAAGACACCCCACCCTACTCTTCAAATCAAAGGTGGCAGAAAGTTCTTCAGGCAAGAGTTTTTCCTCTCTGTCACACAGGGAGTAATTCAAGATTTTTGGAATAAGCTTCATTTTCAAGTTCGTTGTAATCACAGGACAATTAATATGTTGCAGAGAACTTAAAATCTACAACTACAGTGTAGATGGCTATCAAAAACTATGCGGGATGAAAAAAGCAAGTTGCAGAAAACATTAAGTACACTGACATTTATGTAAATTTTACAAGTGCATATGGAAATGCTACATATTGTTTAAAGATGCATATATCTGTAATAATAAGCATAAAAACCATACTGGAAGCTCCTCCCCAAATTTGTAATTGTAGCTGCTTCTAGAGAAGGGGGGAAGGAAATAGATCTGATGAAAAGAACAAATAAGACTTGAATTTTATCTGTAATATTTCATTTTATTAAAAAATAAAGATATGAAACCAAAATGTTAGAATATAGGGAATGACTTTATCATGACTTTAATCCCATATATAAAATTTGCAGCGTCAGATTATGATGTGGTACATCAAATAAGGGAAGAATAAACCATTATAGGGAAGTCTTGATGAGGAAAATTTTATACTGAAGTATTACGGTGGGATAAAAAGCATGTGATTTTATATATGTAATGTTTGGCTGGGAGTTTATACTTGATAATACAAGCAATACAGTGCTCTGGGGTTTTTTAATCAAAGAAACAATATTGTTCCTATGAAAAAAGCAGTGAGCCATCATAGGCAAGTTTCTTACCTTTTCCAAGTCTTCGTTTCCTCTGTAAAGTGAAGGTCATCATGGAGCTTACCTCATACGGCTCTTTCAAGGATTATGAGCATACCACTTGATAGTAAGAGCTCAATAAATGCTTGCTATTGATATATACATATATATATATTCATTAATATCTGACATGATGAAGGACGAAATGGTAAAATAAAGATATAATAAAGGACCTTGGTGTGGAGTACACTAACTTTTTCCACACTGGATCATTTTCCTTTTTCATAGCTGACATACCACAGATATCAATGCATAATCCCAGAGGTAGTCACAGACCTGGGCAGTGATGCTGATATGCGTAGAAAACTTACTTGAAACTGACAGTTCGCATATCTGATCAGGTAATCCCAGAATATAAATGATATGTTACAGGAATTCTGAGAGCTCTTTTAATTAAAAAAACAAAAAACAGGAATAGAACAATGAATGAAAAGGCAAAATGTAAGAAACATGACAGCAGACCCAGATGTGGTTTCTCTTCTTCTAAGGTCAATAAGTGAACGTGGGAAATTCTACCAAATAATTGTGAGGGCCAAAGCTATTGCTGTCTTCCACACAGCCTGGGGTAGAAAGCCACTGGACCAGTGAGTGGCAGAGACAAATATAGTCCTTTTTATGTTTTCCTCAGCACTCATGGCCCTACATGGTGCTCCTCTCTGGGATGTACACACAGATACCCTACCTTTGTGACTTTCTCTTCTTGGAGTGGACTTTGCTACTCCTGTCTTGTAATTATAGTGAGGCTGACATGCAGAGGTCACCTTGATGCCTCCAAGCCAAATTAGCCAACAGAGCAGGTTAAAAGCAATTACAGTAGCCCATAGGAAATCACAATGGACTGCAACTAACACAGAAAAAACTATTACCATAATCAATACACTTTAAGCACATCAAAATGAATATTTCCACATGTCAAAATGGTTCCAGATTTACAAAGCAACCAAACTAAACAGAAAACACATTTAGTTTTCATAATGACTCTGCATGCATCTTTGCCTGATGTCGGACCCTTGCCTCTTTTCTCACAATTCTGTGGGGTTTTGCTTTTTTTTTAAAAAAAAAAAAAAAGGATTTAAAAAATGCTAATGTTTTTCACCTGCCCCTATTGCTCCACTTGGCTTTTTCATCTGATTTTGGCGTGTTTGTTTCAGGCCTCCCCTCCCTGTGCTCCTGCTGCCCCTTTCACCTCCTATAATTTATCTTGGCCTTTACTTCTCATCAATTGAGTTGACACTTTACATTAATTCATCCTGTCTTTGATTCTACTCACTTATGTGCCTTTCACATTTTTAGCCTTTTTCCTCAGGCTTCCTTTCACTTCAAATAATTTAGTGCTGCTCTTTAAAAATTTATACCCTACATAATGATATCCATATTAATGTATCTTCTCTTTTTTCTATTTTCTTTTTTTTTTAGTTACTCTGTGGTTTCTTAGACGCAACATAAAACAAATGCCTTTCATAATTCTGATTGTTATAACTTCTGTCACATAATAATGCCTCTGATCTTCTCCTTTGGTGACTAAACCATTTTTCTTTTGCTTAGTTCCTTTTTGCATCTATGACTACTTAAGATCACCCCACCCTTCTGGCAGAATTACTGTCCAGATTAATAATCGTTGCCTACATATATCTGCTCACAGAGATTTGTTCTCTTATTATTTCTGTTTCCACTTTTTTGGCTGTGTTTGTAAGTTTTCAGTGCTGCTGCCTTTAACCAGCCTGGCTAGGACAGGACTTTGGTGGTGTTTATTGTCATAAAGGATTAATTCCTCATCACTGGTTGCTTGTTGGATATGCAATAATGACGCTCTAATTCAGCACTTACTTACTGAAGACCCACGATGTGAAAGACCTGGAGCTGCGTACTGTGAAAGATACAATGAAGGGTTTACTTTCTAAAGATTTAAGGCCTCCAGGAGGAGACATAATACCCAATAAAGCTCTACATTCTTCTGGCTAGTCTTCTTTCAGCATCCCCTAACTCAGTGAACAGCAATACTATCAATACAGTTGGGTAAGGCAGAAATACCGGGTCATCCCCGACACCTCCCTCTCGTATACATCCAGGCCTATCAGTTTTGCCTCCTACATACCTCGTATATTTGTCTACTTTTCTTCATCTTCATTGTCACCATCATGGTCCATATTAGACTACTGAAATAGCCTCTAAGCAGATTGCCCCAGATATTCTTGTCTTCCTAAAATCCATTCTCTGTATTTTCATCAATTCTGTTTTAAAAGCGTAAGTCATATCAAATTCGCTGTATCCTTAAAATGTACAAATGGCTTCCTGTTACTTTTTGGAGAGCGTACTGGATTATCTGTTGACATCTCAGCACCATTCTCTCCCTTCTATGCTACCTCTTGATTTTCAGGGGCTGGCAGCCTGGACACTGCATTTCTCAGACTGTCTTTCAGCAGGGTTCTGGTTAGGTGTAGGCATTTGCCCAATAGAGGGAAAGTGGAAAGCAAAAGATTAAAAAAATTATTGCTTAGGTAGTATGGGTGGATACGTGGCTATGAGCAGACTGCAGAAATGAATAGCTTCCTGCGCGTCAGAAAAATCCAGGCTTGACTGGCCTCACAAAGAACGAAGCAGTTCAAGAATTGAAAGTCTCCAAAGCAGCTTTAGGCACGCTAGCATTCTTAGAAAAAGCTCTCAAATGCTGTTTTATGATGGTCTCAAAAAAAGAGAAATAATAATAATTAAAAGCTCTCAAAAAGCTTATTTTCAATGGTCCTCAATGGCAGTAGCCTGATTCTCAGACACTGTGATGACACCTCTTCTCTGACTCTACCAGCCTGAAGTTTCTGAGCAATCATTTTAATCTCTATACTTTCTGGGTTTTGGTTTGGTTTGGTTTCTGCCTGAAGTTTCTTGAGGCCTTCGTTGTCTCATTTTTCTATATCATTTTTACTTTCACTTCCAGTCTTCTTTTTTTTTTGTTTTTGAGATGGAGTCTCACTCTGTCACCCAGGCTAGACTGCAGTGGCAGCCTCTTGGCTCCCTGTGGCAAGAGGGAGATCCTCCCAGATCCTCCTCCCAGGTTTAAGCACTTCTTGTGCCTCAGCCTCCTGAGTAGCTGGGACTATGACGCACACCAGCACCCCTGGCTAAATTTTGTATTTTAAGTAGAGACAGGGTTTCACCATTTCGGCCAGGCAGGACTTGAACTCCTGACCTCAGATGATCTGCCTGCCTCAGTCTCCCAAAGTGCTGGGATTGCAGGTGTGAGCCACGCATGCCCGGATGGTTTCCAGTCTTCTTATCCTCTTCCCAAATTTTTCAAATTCTTGAGAAAGATAATCTGATTAGCCCAGATACTCTCTTTATCTCTATCTGAATGAACTTAGTGGAACCTCTCTGAAGCTTCATTTCCTCATCTGTAAAATGGGGATAATACCACTCACTTATTTTATAGTGCTATTGTGAGAACTGAGTAGGTAACAAGTGTGTAGCAGTTAGTAGATGCCTGGCAAATAACGCTCAACACGTGAAAAGTCCTTTCTTTCCTTTGCCTCAAGGCTAAGCATAGTACCTTTTTCCAGATCAGTGGTATTGTAGGTACTTAGGAACTATCTGTTGTATATTGATAAAAATTATATACATATGTGTGTGCCTTTATGTGTGTGTACACATATACATACACACACAGAGAGAGAGAAAGGGGAAAAAATATTTACTTGATATATAGCCAGCTATTTGAAATTAGGCATTTGGAAAAATAATATAGATGCAGAATAAAAACTATGAACACTTGCTATGTTTGAGCATTGGAATATTTTGTCTATATTCAAATATCTTGTACTTATCATATTCTCAAGCTGAATATGGTCTCAGCGGTCCATTCCTGGGTTCCTTACAAAGTTCTGCCAAAACAGTTAGATAAATCTTGTATAAACTTATCTGAAAGGCTCCTCTTCTCTTTCTTTCTATTATGTTTGTTCTCTGGCCCACCATGCCACTCATTCTAATGATGATTTTGATAAAAGGAAACACTAAGATTTGGCTTGCATCAAAATTTTATGAAGAGGTCACACGTAGATTTGCTGGTAGAAAAAAAACCACAGATGTTTTATCCACCCTTCAATCTAGCATTCTACCTATCTACATTTATAATGCAAATATTCATAGACATTCTGGCTACGACCTTTTTCAAAATCCAGAAATGTCTGAAACAAAGCAAAACAAAAACAAAAATACCCTCAAATACCTCATCTCTGTCATAGGGCAAACAATGATATAGCCTGAAAATCAAACCTGAGTTTGAATCCTGACTCTGCTACTTATCATTGAGCAATTAGGAATTTCTAAACTCGAGAGAAAACGTAAGGAGACAAACGCAAAATGAACATTAGCAGAAAAAGTGCTGTAGACCCACAGTCTTGCCCCGGGGTTCCAAAGTCAACTGACTGGCTGCACAGCTTCAGGCAAGTTGTTAAACCACGCCGGGCTGCACTTGTAAAGCAACGGAATTAAAGAAGGGGCTCCTTAAAGCCCCTTCCCATCCTTTGCTCCACGGTATCATAAGAGTGCAGTCATTCTTGTTAAAGTTTATGCTTTTCCATAACCCTAAGCTCAGAGGATTCTCCCATTACAGCTCTTGAACTGTTAAGGAAATCTACCATGCTCATGTGTTTTCTTAATCTGGTGCTGACAGTTCTCAGTTTTTGTTTTTGGAGCCAAGGTTTCACTATTTTGCCCAAGCTGGGCTCAAGCGATCCTCCCGCCTCAGCCTTCCAAGTAGTTGGAGCTACAGACATGCAACACCGTGCCTGGCCAGCCTTTGGTTCTATAAAGAAGTAGGCCGTGAAACAAAATTAGACAACATTGTAATCATCAAAGACACAGTCATCATTAGTCATAATCAAGTAACAGCTCCTAGTCACAGCACTGCCTGCCCTATATTTCATTTTAATCCTCTAATAAGCCTGTGCCTAATAATTATTCCCATTTTACAGGTGAGAAAATCAAGTTTCTTCACAGAACCTTTTCAAGCAAATATCCAATCTGTCTAGAAAAATGTATTATTAAGACTTTCATTACGCTTTCATTTGCTACTTATTGGAGAAAAGTGTTCTAGCCTTTTAAGCAAGTCAAAAAACGCTTACTACAAATAATAAATGTTATCAAGAGTCCAGCATTCAAGTTAATACAACAAACAGACAAATAATCTTTGTAAGTTTGCATCAGAATTGAAGATAGGCTGCATGTGCTCATGGACATTCCCTGTTTGTTGAGCTAAGCAGCTGCTCTTTTGGCTGTTTCCATCATAATTGCACAAGGGCATTGGAGTCGTGCCACAAGGTACAGATACTGTCATCTTCATGTTATTATCAGACTTCCATGCAAATAATTCTAGTTCACAGCTTTAGGGGGAAGGGATGCAGAAACGTTGGTAAAGTGTCTTCTTTTCCCAGAAGCTTTAATAGTAGCATCGCTGTAAGTGCAGGCCAATTGGGAGGCTTTATCTCTAGAAGGCCAAATGGGGGTCGAGGGAGGCTGATGAGGAGTTAGCATGAAGAATTGAGACGGGGATGAAATCAGAAACCCTGGCCAGTAGCACAGTGAGTGCAGGGATCAGCATCCTCAGGTGTGTATTTCTGAGGAATTTAAGTGGCAGCAGTAGCTGACTGGATAGATTATGGGTCCAGGAAAAGTACAGGTACCCTGAATCATATTTTAAAACTTGCTATCAACCTGTAGGTCTAGTACAGTGGCTATGTAAATTTAATTTAATTAAAATTAAACAGAATTTAAAATTTACCTCCTCTGTGGCACTAGCAACATTTCAGGCACTCAAAAGCCTCACATGTGGCTACTGGCTACAGGATCTAGCACAGACATAGAACATTTCTGTTAACACAGCGAGATTTAAATGTTTAAACCAACATTTAAAAAGCCTGAAGTTTGATCAACACTTGGGAAATATATATGGCATACTGGTTATGAGCACAGACTCTATATCCAAACTTCCTGGACTCAAATCCTGGCTCCAAGCCTTGCTAATTACATGACTTTGGGTATGCTATTACCACTCTGTGCCTCGATTTCTCCATCTGTAAAACTGGGACAATAACAGTGCAAATTTTAGAAGACTGTTGTAAAGGTTGATGTATTTAAAGCACTTACAATGGTTTCCAACACATTGTAAGTGCGATTTAAATGTTAGCTCTTAATATTATGAGTTTCTCACAGAGACATACTTCTATAATGCAGTACCTATTGCTGGGGAATAGATATAACCTGATTCAGACATCTGACCCTTTCTGCACCTCCCTTTGCCCATGAATCAAGTCTGTATTGAATAGGATAAAACACTCTTGTCACCATGAGTGTGTACAATACCAGGGTGAACTCTCTTCTTACTTGTACAACAGAATGTCGGCCGCCTGGAGCACTGGGTACGTGAGCAGGCCTGCCGTGCCGTCGTGCTTCTGCTTGGCAGTCTTGGCCTGGGAGAGGTGAAAGAGACGAGGAGAAGAAATCTGAAATCTGACTTGAACCTAATTATACTGCTAAATTAAGAAAACTTTAAAACAAGCAAATTGCGATCTGACGCCACCTGTAACATCATATGTCAGTTCGTTTTTAGCAATTTAGCCATCTTCCGGCTAGCTTGTCTTCATGTTCCTGGCTGAGGGAGGAATAAGGTGAATCCATTTCACCACCGCCCCTTTAAAGGACCCTGCACTGCTACTGTTCATTTATTTTATTAAAGTAAGGATATAGGGATTTATTGGTTCCAAATCGGATAAATTCCACGTTTCACAGACAAGGTCACAGTTATCATGAAATTAAATTTCTACAAATTAACATGAGTTAACATCAAAAGCCCTACTGCTTATACATGGAGATTTGCCAAAATGTCTCACAGCATGCTATGGTCATTCCCTCATTAATACTAATTAAATATTAATGACCTTTTCTGTCAGTCTTATGTCATGGTAGGCGCTAGAGATACAGCAATCAATAAGTAGTCCCCTTCATGAGGCTTATAGGCCGTTTGGGAAGAGACAGTTAAACAAGTAATAAGAAGGTGTAAGAAGTGCCCTAAGGGGAAGATTCCAGTGCTGTGGGAGGATCTGATAAGGGCATCTAGCCTTCTCCATTGGGACAGCGAAAGGCGGAATAGTGGCATAGAAGGGTGGGGTGGGGGTTGCTGAGGTCAGGGTTATTTAGAGGATTAATGAGTAACATATATGTAAGGCATCTAGAGCACATAATAGGCACTCAATAAATATTAATGCTCTTTACATTTTCCCTCTCCCTTGTGATTCCAAGGTCCACTATGCTAATGTGAAAAGGCTATAAATTGAATGTGATGGCAACTTTTAAAAATTGGGTTATTTTCCAATTTGTGCATTTCCAAATTAAACTCCCATTATCTTTACCCGGTGATCATTATGAACTGGTCTTTATCATGAACTTTGTAACTAGGAGATGTAGTGAAGGAACTGTATGTTCAAACATTCATATTTCCTCTGAATGGCCTAGAGCACTGGCTGCTAAGCTGGAAACCACTTGAAGTATGCTCAGAGAAGTTAAGTTTGTAACTAAATTATGAAACGCCAAAATTACTATGGCTAAGGAAAGAAGTTGTTGTATTTTCAGACTGAGCCTTAAAGAGTGTGGTTGGACCCTGGTAGGGGATCCCCATGTTTGTGAGCTCATGAGCTTGGTCCCTGGAATAAAACCAGTTTATAAATTCAGTCGCTCAGTTCATCCAGAAATAATCGAACTTGAGGGAAGTGATTCATATTAACTAAATGAGTAAGATTTGTCCACACACCCAAGTATCCATTTATTTTACAAGAGATGCTATATCTTTGGCCTTGAAACTTCACAGGATATTCCCATCTAATAAGTAGCTCTACTCAGAGAACCAAACAACAAGTCAGCAATGTGCAGCTGCAGCAGGGGAGTTAGTATCATGAAATCCATGTTTTTCCTACAAACAGGCAATCATCCACTAGTGGAAAGGCCTTTCCAGAATCAGTACATGCACTAATAATGTGCTATCAGGAGATACGTAGATGGTGTTTTAAAGTGGGAATAGTTGCTACTAGATTAGTATTCAGTTCCTATAAAAAGGATTTCAACATTATACTTAAGGGTAGAATATTATGATAAAATGGGAAGGTATTGCCTAAAACCAAAATATGGCAGAGAGGATTATGAAACGTTATTTCTAATTTATGGCAAGTAATGAATCTAGAGCATTACCAGTACTGTCTTATTTATTAAGTGTCTTAGTCCACTCAGGCTGCTATAACAAAAATACCCAACTAGGTGGCTTATAAACAACAGACATTTCTTTCTCACAGTTCTGGAGGCTGGGAAGTCCAAGATTAAGGCAAAGTCACTATCTGGTGAGGAACCTTGTTCATGGACAGTGACTTCTAGCTTTGTTCGCATATGATGGCAGGAACAAGTGGTCTCCCTAAGAGATCAGTGCTCTAAGAGATCAGTGCTTTAACAAGAGCACTAATCTCACTCCTGATGGTCCTGCCCTCATGATCTAATCACCTCTCAAGGGCCCTGCCTGCTAATACTATCATCTTGGGAGTTAGGTTTTAGCATATAAATTTTGGGGGACACATTCAGATTACAGCATTTAGGCGCTGCCACTTTAAAGGTTTGTCTGTTTCTCTCTGGAGCATATGTGAAGGCTTCTAAAGGTTAGCTTTTGAGGAAATCAGTGGTCCTGAAAATAGGCTCAAAAGAAGCTTCAAATTGAAATTAGTTTTGACGTAGTTGGGGGCTACATACACTGGGGTTATCCAGTTTCAAAAATAAATGGAAGTAAAGTACTATGAATTATCCAATTTATCTTTCTTGGTTGAACTTCTTAGAAAAAGTACAGCCCTAATTTTTCTGTGGGTTTGAACTGTTGCCTGGACTCAACTTGTTTAAATGTTAAAGAAAATATGTCGTCTCTTCTCTCCACAATGAAAACATTCTTTCCTTACTGCCAGTTAGTCCCAGTGGAAATGGGAGGCAACTTCAGGGTCCAGTAATCCAGAATTTGTGATTGTTTGTCAACTATGATGTGGTTGTTCAAGGTCATAACCAAGTCTATCCAAAGGTAACGGATTCAACTGTACACAGATAAAAACAATTGACATAATTTTTAAGTCAGAAGGAATCTTGGAAAGGCCTTTTACTTTCTGTTTAATACCCTGAAGCAGGGGGGTTAAAGATGCTGTTCAACCACTGGTGAGTTGCAGAGCCGGGAGGAGTAAACTCAGGATTCACAGAGCCTAACACAAAAATACACAGGAAGGGAAAAAGACCTTGTTGTCTGTTTATTAATCAGATTACTGGCATTTACCTTCCACTGGTGTAAATGTTGTAATCGAGGTAGTCTGACCATGCAGGAAAGGATCCAACTTAATTGTGTGTGTTCAGGCACCTAATGAAATAAAATAGAACATTAGTAAAGTGGCCAGTGTTTTCTTGCATGTAAGAAAAACTAAATAGTAAATATTACCTTAAATGTCTGAAAATACCCCAAATCAATGTTATTATAAGAACAGGTGACGGGGACTTAGTTCTGATTCATGATGGATAGACTCTTAGGTGAAGAAGAAATAATACAAGCTAACTGATCTGATTATTAATCTAGTGTTTAAGTCTACTTTACAATATCCTTAGCAAGTGGGTAACCAGACTCTGCTTCAGCATCTTCAGTGAGAAAGTTTCATGATGTCCAGTGGCATCTATCTGTAAAGTTTCAAGCTTATTAAGAAAAAACACGGAGAGAGAGATCCAAGATGGCTGATCACTAGTAGCTCGGGATTGTAGCTCCCACTGAAAGAGCAGAGAACGAGAGGACGCCACACTTTCAGATCAATTTTTGTTGCTCACGCACCAGGAGATTCCCAGCGGGGGAGACCCACGTGTCGCCAGCGCGACTCTTGAGGCCGGCGAGGCGGTTTTGCCGCTGCCTTGGAGCGGCGGCTCTTGGTGCAGAGTCACAAAAGCACCATCAATCTTTTTTTTTTTTTGACGGAGTTTCGCTCTCGTTACCCAGGCTGGAGTGCAATGGCGCGATCTCGGCTCACCGCAACCTCCGTCTCCTGGGTTCAGGCAATTCTCCTGCCTCAGCCTCCTGAGTAGCTGGGATTACAGGCACACGCCACCATGCCCAGCTAATTTTTTGTATTTTTTTTTTAGTAGAGACGGGGTTTCACCATGTTGACCAGGATGGTCTCAATCTCTTGACCTCGTGATCCACCCGCCTCGGCCTCCCAAAGTGCTGGGATTACAGGCTTGAGCCACCGTGCCCGGCCAGCACCATCAATCTTAAAGCTGCCGTTTTGGCCGGGGCAGTGGGTTGCTCAGATTTTAGCACCAGGAATCAACAAGTTGGACGTCCATTCAGAAACCCAACTATAAAGATGGTAATTATAAAGACCACAGATGGATAAATTTATAACAAAGGGAAGAAACCAGCCTAAAAAGGCTGAGAATACCCAAAATCAGAATGCCTCTCCCTCTACAGGGGATCACAGTTCCTCATCAGCAACAGAACAAGGCCTGATGGAGAAAGACTGTGTTCCATTAACAGAAGCAGGCTTTAAAAAGTGGATGATAAGAAACTTCTGGGAATTAAAAGAACTTGTTCTAACCCAATGCAAAGAAACTAAGAACTTTGAAAAAAGGTTTGACGAAATGTTAAAAATAACACACAATTTAGAGAGGAATATAAGTGAATTAATGGAGCTGAAAAATACAACACGAGAACTTCGCGAACTATGCACAAGTTTTAACAGCCGAATTGATCAAGCAAAAGAAAAGATATTAGAGGTCAAAGACCAACTTCATGAAATAAAACAAAAAGACAAGATTAGAGAAAAAAAGGATAAAAAAGAACGAGCAAAGTCTCCAAGAAATATGGGACTATGTGAAAAGACCTAATCTACGTTTGATAGGTGTACCTGAATGTGACGAAGAGAATCAATCCAAGCTGGAAAATACGCTTCAGGATATTATTCAGGAAAACTTTCCCAACGTAGCAAGGCAGGACAATATTCAACTCCAGGTAATACAGAGAACACCACAAAGATATTCCTCAAGAAGACCAACCTCAAGACACATAATCGCCAGATTCACCAGGGTTGAAATGAAAGAGAAAATACTGAGGGCAGCCAGAGAGAAAGGTCAAGTTACCCATAAAGGGAAGCCTATCATACTCACAGCAGATCTCTCAGCAGAAACCCTGCAAGCCAGAAGAGAGTGGGGGCCAATATTCAACATCCTTAAAGAAAAGAACTTTCAACCCAGAATTTTATATCCAGCCAAACTAAGCTTCATAAGCGAAGGAAAAATAAAATCTTTTGTGAACAAGCAAGCACTCAGAGATTTCATCACCACCAGGCCTGCTTTACAAGAGCTTCTGAAAGAACCATTACAAATAGAAAGGAACAACCAGTATCAGCCTTTCTAAAAAATGCCAAAAAATAAAGAACATCAACATAATTAAGAAATTGAATCAATTAATGGGCAAAACAGCCAGCCAACATTAAATGACAGCATCAAACTCATATATATTGTTATTAATTCTAAATTTAAATTGACTAAATCCCCCAATCCAAAGACACAGACAGGCAAAAAAAGCCAAGACCCATTGGTATGCTACATCCAGATCCATCTTACATGCAAGGATACACAAAGACTCAAAACAAAGGGATGGAGAAAAATTTACCAACCAAACGGAGAGCAAAAATAAATAAATAGAAAGCAGGAGTTGCAATTTTTGCTGATAAAATAGACTTCAAAGCAACAAAGATCAAAAGAAGCAAAGAAGGATATTACATAAAGATAAAAGGATCAATGTAACAAGAAGAGCTAAAGATCCTAAATATATATGCACCCAATACAGAAATACCCAGATATATAAGACTTATAAAGAGACTTGGACTCCCACACAATAATAGTGGGAGACTTACAGATCAATGAGACAGAAAGTTAACATTGATATTCAGGACTTGAACTCAGATTCCGAACAAGTAGACTTAATTAACATTCATAGAACTCTCCACTTTAAATACACAGAATATGCACTCTTGTCAGTACTACATCACATGTATTTACAGGTTTAAATGAAATATTGGTTGGCTGCTTGTTAATTATTTTCTTCCCTCATTTTTTTTTGTCTCTATTATTAAACATAATTACAGGCATACCCATTTTTGGACTGCCTTTTACCCTGGGCAATAAAGCAACACCCCTGTTCTCTCTCCCTCTTCCTCTTCCTTCCTTTCCTTTATTCTTTTTTTTTTTCATTCTTTTTTTTCTTTCTCTCTTTCTTCCAAAAAAAAAAAAGAGGAGTGAGATGAAAATGACAACAGATTCCTCATCAAAAATAATGCAAGCCAGAAAACAGTGGAGCAACGTTGTTAACATACTATTTTTCTTTCAAATTTTAGAATGCGTTTATTAGACATTATACAACAGCTCCAGACGAAGACATGCCATACCCCCCATATTACACTAACCACCCCACCCATGCCAACCAGCATCTCTTGAGTTATTCTTTATCTCATTAGCCTATTTAACTTCTCTATTGGCTTACTCTCTGCCAACTGATAGCCTTACTTATGGCCCCAGTGCTGTGGACTGAATTATGTCCCCTCACTAAATGTATATATTGAAGCCTTAACCCCCTATGTGGCTGTATCTGGACATAGGGTCTCTAGGAGGTAATTAGGATTTAATGAGATCATAAGGATGGGACTCTTAGGAGAGGAAGAGACAGATCTCTCTCTCTCTCTCTCTCTCTCTCTCTCTCTCTCTCTCTGTTAAAAAACACACACACACACACGCACATACACAATTTACACACTAGTTCCAAGCCTCTCTAAATGACTTCTAACTATATCAAAGCAGCTATAGCACTTTCCATTTTGTAAATGGTGGAAAAAGGCACTGGACTTAACATTAAAGATTGAATTCTTTAGATCTAAGGTAATTTGAAAGTTAGAAATCACCCTACTCCATCACCCCAAAGGGTATTTTTATCGTTTCTAGTTCCTCCTCTTCTTCTTTTTCCTTTTCTTTTTTTTAAGAAGCCTACTCAACAAGAAAATATAAACTTTCTCAAATTTGTTTTTGTTTTAACTGAATTTAATCAAGTTACCAAGCCTGATGACCTAGAATTTAAGGACCATGCATCCCATTTCTGGACTCTGGGGATTCCACCGACTGTGGCTTTTGTTTTTTATGTTCACATGATTTCCTTAAAAAGCAGAGACTGTTGCCAACTCTGAAAAGTGGCCCCAAATGTGTTCTTTGTGGGTTTTGCAAAAAGAACATAAAGGAGTGGAGCTTAATCAGCCCAGGCCTGTTTTACTAGCAAGGAATCGCCATCTGTTGTAAGACAGTTTCTCATTTTTTCCCTCAAGTTATAGAGAGGGAAGAGTCGTTTTTCACGGGTCTGACAAGGAATCACTTTTAAAGTTTTGCAAGTCCCCGGACCGAATCTGTCATCTTTCTTCTAAGAGGCATTCGGGTTTCCTTGAGGGCAGTGACACTGACACACGGTCCATGCAAATTGCTAACTGCTGCTGTAAACAAATATCTATCAGACAAAAACAGTAAGCAACTCGGGATGTAGGCAAGAAGATCAGAGTTGCATCCAATCACCAAGGAAAATACACTCCCATTAGAACTATTAAAACAAGAGCTGTTTTTGTGGCATGAAAACGTAGGAGAGACTTTTTTTTCTTCTTTACAGAATTGGGAGAAAGAATGAAAACACAGATAATAACCATGAATATGTGGAAAGAGACAAGATGACGCCTCTTTAACTCTGATTCGAACGCTTAGCTTTGGTGATAAGCGAAAAGCTACCACCGTCTCCCTATGAAGCTGAGTATTTTCCTTGGAGTAGCTTTTTATTTGGACATATGGAATGAAACTTAATATTCTGCACGGATCTTCCTGGTGTTTCCAAAATAGTGAGTGTAAAATTAATTCAAATTATCCTCATACAGAAAAAGTAGGTAAAAGGTCAATGGCGATTCATTTTTCACAATTCATTTTTCACAATTATATAAGAAGGGTAGGGTACTTCAGGATTTCATTCAGGTCGTCTTCATTTATATTCATGACAATTGCTTGGAAAGGTACAGATTTCCATTTGGGGGAAAAAGGGGAAATGGTATCTAAATATACTATTTTATTATTTATGCTGCAAAACCACAAACAAACTAGTTATATAACCTGATTAGCCACAGAAAAGCACAGGCATGGACAATGAAGTGGCCTACTGACCACCCACAAACAAGTCAGCAGTGATGAGCAGAAAAGAAAGAACTGAAGATTTCAAGCCTCTCATTCTATCTTTTTCACAGCTGTAGAACGTAACTTGGTACACTGTAGATACTCAGGAAGTATTTGTTGAATGTG